GAGACAGCTTTCCTTCGAGCCTATTCTCATATGGTTGGACCAGATGACGCCAAAAGGCGCACAACTCAAGGACAATGCACCATCAGAGTATGAGAGCTCGGGGCAAGCATCTACACTATGGGGACCTCATTTGCCAGTAAAAATATGATAATTGGTTCTTTACCCTTCTATCTGACAACAAAACTGACACCTTTTTGCAAGGAGTCATGTTTGCATAGACCGCAATACCTGCAGTCATAAGACAAACAAAAGACATAACTCTGATAATGTGCACTGTCCTTGAAGTTGATTGGTTCCACACCCGAGACAGCTTTCCTTCGAGCCTAGTCTCATATGGGTTGGACCAGATGACGCCAAAAGGCGCACAACTCAAGGACAATGCACCATCAGAGTATGAGAGCTCGGGGCAAGCATCTACACTATGGGGACCTCATTTGCCAGTAAAAATATGATAATTGGTTCTTTACCCTTCTATCTGGCAACCAAAACTGACACCTTTTTGCAAGGAGTCATGTTTGCATAGACCGCAATACCTGCAGTCATAAATACAAACAAAAGACATAACTCTGATAATGTGCACTGTCCTTGAAGTTGATTGGTCCACACCCGAGACAGCTTTCCTTCGAGCCTAGTCTCATATGGGTTGGACCAGATGACGCCAAAAGGCGCACAACTCAAGGACAATGCACCATCAGAGTATGAGAGCTCGGGGCAAGCATCTACACTATGGGGACCTCATTTGCCAGTAAAAATATGATATTTGGTTCTTTACCCTTCTATCTGGCAACAAAACTGACACCTTTTTGCAAGGTCATGTTTGCATAGACCGCAATACCTGCAGTCATAAATACAAACAAAAGACATAACTCTGATAATGTGCACTGTCCTTGAAGTTGATTGGTCCACACCCGAGACAGCTTTCCTTCGAGCCTAGTCTCATATGGGTTGGACCAGATGACGCCAAAAGGCGCACAACTCAAGGACAATGCACCATCAGAGTATGAGAGCTCGGGGCAAGCATCTACACTATGGGGACCTCATTGCCAGTAAAAATATGATAATTGGTTCTTTACCCTTCTATCTGGCAACAAAACTGACACCTTTTTGGACCAATCAACTTCAAGGACAGTGCACATTATCAGAGTTATGTCTTTTGTTTGTATTTATGACTGCAGGTATTGCGGTCTATGCAACATGACTCCTTGCAAAAAGGTGTCAGTTTTGTTGCCAGATAGAAGGGTAAAGAACCAATTATCATATTTTTACTGGCAAATGAGGTCCCCATAGTGTAGATGCTTGCCCCGAGCTCTCATACTCTGATGGTGCATTGTCCTTGAGTTGTGCGCCTTTTGGCATCATCTGGTCCAACCCATATGAGACTAGGCTCGAAGGAAAGCTGTCTCGGGTGTGGACCAATCAACTTCAAGGACAGTGCACATTATCAGAGTTATGTCTTTTGTTTGTATTTATGACTGCAGGTATTGCGGTCTATGCAAACATGACTCCTTGCAAAAAGGTGTCAGTTTTGTTGCCAGATAGAAGGGTAAAGAACCAATTATCATATTTTTACTGGCAAATGAGGTCCCCATAGTGTAGATGCTTGCCCCGAGCTCTCATACTCTGATGGTGCATTGTCCTTGAGTTGTGCGCCTTTTGGCGTCATCTGGTCCAACCCATATGAGACTAGGCTCGAAGGAAAGCTGTCTCGGGTGTGGACCAATCAACTTCAAGGACAGTGCACATTATCAGAGTTATGTCTTTTGTTTGTATTTATGACTGCAGGTATTGCGGTCTATGCAAACATGACTCCTTGCAAAAAGGTGTCAGTTTTGTTGCCAGATAGAAGGGTAAAGAACCAATTATCATATTTTTACTGGCAAATGAGGTCCCCAAAGCGGAGATTAATTATTTATTTTAAACTTCTGTCTGTTGATTAGCTTGTGCAGCAGCTGATGACGATGTTGCTGCAGAGGTGGCCTTAGTAAGGATTTTAACTCATCTTCTGACAACTGGAAGACCTTTTTAATTTTTTTGTATTAGTTCTTAATAGTTCCTTGCAATAACGATTACAAGATTCTGGGGAGCGGTGGTGCAGTGGTTAGCGCACGATGCTTGGAACCCGGCGAGCTAAGTTTGACTCCTGGTCACGGCTTACATGAGACGTGACTGATGTCTGAACCGGATCGTGTGACCTCCTCCCCAGCCTTCACTAACCCGCACTGACCAGCGAGGTGAAGTATGGTCAAACAATCCCCATTAGCCGACACGAGATGCAGAGGCCTTCATCTGGCAGTGGATTGACAAAGGGGCCGTTCATTGTTCATGTTTTATTTATGGTAATTATTGAGATAAAGACGTGTATATTAAAGGAATACACAAAATCTAAAACACATTTTTTTACAATCTCTTAGGCAGTTCGAGACCAGTATTAATCATCAACAATATTTAATCTTGTCATTCTGTGAGGCAATGGATTTTTGATTCTGTAAGGCAATGAAGCTATGATTCTGTAAGGATTAGTGGATGAGTGATAGGATCAGTGAGTGATTTGGTGAGTGAGCGAATGAGTGATTGGATGAATAAGTGGATAAGTGAGTGAGTGGGTGAGTGAAGTGGGTGAGGTGAGTGGGGTGAGTAAGTGATGTTAAGAATTAGAATCTGTGATTCTGTAAGAATGTAAGGCTATGATTCTATAAGAATCAGTGAGTGGATGAGTGAGTTAATGTGTAAGTGGGTGAGTGAGTTGATGGGTGAGCGGATGAGTGAGTGGATGGGTGAGTGATACTAAGAATGAGAATCAGTGATTCTGTATGAATGTGAGGCTATGATTCTATAAGAATCAGTGAGTGGATGAGTGAGTTAATGGGTAAGTGGGTGAGTGAGTTGATGGGTGAGTGGGTGAGTGAGTGGGTGAGTGATGCTAATAGCGAGAATCTGTGATTGTGTAAGATTGTGAGGCTATGATTGTGTAAGAATGAGTGAGTGGGTGACTAATAGGTGAGTGATGCTCGGGACACGGCTGTGTCGCTATTAAAATGTCGCCACGTCTGCTGAATTAGGGGCCGGGAGGAGGGGTGGGTTTGTGAATGATTGAGTGATCTGAAACACGGTGAGTATTTTAGTGAGCGAGTGAACGGGGCAATGGATGCGAGCTGATGATTCTCTCCGACTATGATTCTGTAAGGATGTGAAGCTATACGAGCCTATAAGCACGAGTGAGCGAGTGAATAGATGAGTGAGTGGGCGAGTGAGTGAGGCTAAGGATATGCGTCTATGGTTCTCTAAGCTTGAGTGAATGAGTGTGAGTGGATGAGTGAGTGAATGAGTGTGAGTTGAGTGAGTGAGGCTTGGGATGCGAGGCCATATTCTGTAGCATGAGTGAGTGGATGAGTGGGTGAGTGTATGAGTGAGTGGGGTGAGTGCGTGGGTGAGGGAGTGGCGAGCGAGTGGGTGAGTAGGACGACAGGCCATGATGCTGTAAGGCCATGGAGCAGCTATGCTTCTGTAAGGGTGAGACTCCGTCATTCTCAAAGGACACAGGGCCGTGTCTCTATTAGATTTCGCTGCGTCTGCTGTATTAGGGCAGGGAGGAGGAAGGTGGGGTGGGGTGGATGGGGGTGGGTTGGGTGGGTGGGGTGGGGTGGGTGAGGTGGGTCGGTGGATGATCGAATTGCCTGCAACGCAGAGCGTGGTGGGTGGGGAGCGTCGCCACTCACGACAAGAGGGGGTGCTGCCACCTCTGAGCTGTAAAAAAAACCGGGATACATCACGCGAGGTAGCAGAGAGAAAATCTAATTGACCGCCGTTTCGAGCAATGATCCTTCGTTGTGTGCGATATCCAATGGACATATTTGTGTGTTGTAAAATATACAGTAGTTTTATGGCACCACTATTATGGTTTTATTCATGTACTGTGAAGAAGGACCATTGCCTGAAACGTCGTCTATTATATGTTTTCCTTTTAAGGCTACACACACAGTGTTAGTATTGACGATTTGTCGGTGTTTATCTGTTATTGGCTATGCCTGTGCACCACTGCTAATGCAGCAGCAGAATCACATAATTTGTTGAACCATCATCATTATTTTAGTCGCAGTATTGCACAACCGACTAAAACTCGACACTTTGAGCGTCCCATAGAGGGCCTGCAGGCTTCGCAGTACAGCTGCTACCGCCACAAGAAGATGCTCCTGCGAAAAACCGGGACGGGTGAATACTCCAGTGAGGGGTCACTCGACCTCTGCGTGACCTCAAACGTGACCAGGTGGTACGCGCGCTGCCACGCAGTGTCCACTCACTCTCGCTCAGAGGGGGCGGGGGTCTACAGGCGAGCGGGGGGAGGCAGCAGCAGCAGCAACATCCGGCGCTACTACACCAACCGCCCAAGGTCTGCGGTCCTCGTTATATCAAAGTGTTATTGGCCAGGCAATGAGTGGTTATACGTGTGGGAGGCACACGGAGCACCCGGGAGGGGAAAAAATTAACCCGTAAAAACAAAGTTTTTAATTATAAATCCTTTATATTGCGTGGCGGCTAGAGTCCTCTCGTCCTCTGGCTTGAGATGGCTGCCAGCTATGGGTCAGATGATTGCCTGCCACCATTAAGCAATTGGTAATTAAATCAAAAAAATTCCTAAAAAGTGTAAAATTTTGGAAAAAAAATTCACGAAAATGCATTGTCACGCACAACGAGTCTGTGTGCAAAATGTCAGCTCGATTGGATCACGGGAAGTGGGTTAAAAAACGACCGAAAGATTTGCACGGTCGCAAGCGCGCAAGCAAGCAAGCAATATAAAGGATTAAAAAAAAAACCTCCCGCGTGCGAGGTAGCAACACTCGATCCCATGCAGATGGAGCAGTCCACGTTGAGCCGCACCGCATTCCCCTGGCGAGCCAAGCGCGCGGCTCCTCATCGACGCCGCACGGGCTGGGACCTCCACAACACTCGCTGCTGCTGCTGCTGCCTCTGCTGCTGCTGCTGCCTCTGCAGTGCCCGACTCCCCCCGGCAGTGGCGTGAACACAGCCATCACCGTCACCGCCCGGCCTCTAGGGGGGGCACGGGGGGACACGGTGGGGGGACGGGACACGGTGGGGGGACGGGACACGGTGGGGGGGGGCACAAGGTTGGGGGGGGGGCACGGTGGGGGGGGGGCGGTGGGGGACACGGTGGGGGACACGGTGGGGGGGACACACGGTGGGGGGGACACACGGTGGGGGGGACACACGGTGGGAGGGGGGGGACACGGTGGGGGGGGGGGGGGACACGGTGGGGGGGGGGGGCGGTGGGGACACGGTGGGGGGGACACACGGTGGGGGGACGGGACACGGTGGGGGGGGGGGGGACACACGGTGGGGGAGGGGGGGACGGTGGGGAGTTGGTACCCGTGGCACTGTAGCGACGGGAAGGTGAGGAGGAGTCAAGGATGCAATCATGTGTGGAGGGGGGGGGGAAGAGGAAGAGGAAGACACGAAGGCAAGTGAAGGGGGAGACGGAGTGAATCGTCTCTGCCGTGAGCAGGGCACGAGCTCAGCTTGCGATTGCATCGTGACATTTGCCGCGCCTCATTGGGTCTCTCCCCGTTCTGTAGAATCTCATTTTTTGGGGGGGAGGGGTAGCCGTCTTCCGATTGGAAGAGACAGCGAACTGCTTCCTGTGCTCAGTTTGTTGTCCTTTTACCCTGAATCTCCGATTAGCACGGTTGGCTACGTACGGTGCGAAAGAAGTTCAGCGTACGGTACATTCTTAGTGGTCGTGAGAGGTAGTTAGAGGTGCATAGCCAACCCCGTGCAGAGGTGCGGGTGGTGGTTGTCGTCTTTGTTTCTGGAAGGAAAGTTGTGCAGAAGGATAGTGAAACTAAACTCAACTTTAGTTTTACTGTCACCAGGTGAGGCCCACTGAGCTACGGAGCTCTTTTGCGGAGGTGACCTGGCCACAAATGGTAGCTCAACGAAGCGGCTTACAACGTGGAAATGTAGAGCAGCCAAATACTCTGAACGCGTGGTGATGTTGTGGAGGGAAACATCGGAGGACCCGGAGAAAAAATCCACGTGGCCACGGAGAGACAGAGAGAAACGCAAACTCCAAATACACAGCCGCGTCAGGGTCGGGATCGAACCCACGACCTCCAGTAGACCAGGCGAGATAGTCAACATCTCCTAGCCACCGTGATGATGACGATGAGAGACACGCAAACTCCAAATACACAGCAGCAGGCGTCAGGGTCGGGATCGAACCCACGACCTCCAGTAGACCAGGCGAGGTAGTTAACATCTCCTAGCCACCGTGATGATGATGATGATGAGAGACACGCAAACTCAAAATACACAGCAGCAGGCGTCAGGGTCGGGATCGAACCCACGACCTCCAGTAGACCAGGCGAGATAGTCAACATCTCCTAGCCACCGTGATGATGATGATGATGAGAGAGACACGCAAACTCCAAATACACAGCAGCAGGCGTCAGGGTCGGGATCGAACCCACGACCTCCAGTAGACCAGGCGAGATAGTCAACATCTCCTAGCCACCGTGATGATGATGATGATGAGAGAGACACGCAAACTCCAAATACACAGCAGCAGGCGTCAGGGTCGGGATCGAACCCACGACCTCCAGTAGACCAGGCGAGATAGTCAACATCTCCTAGCCACCGTGATGATGATGAGAGAGACACGCAAACTCCAAATACACAGCAGCAGGCGTCAGGGTCGGGATCGAACCCACGACCTCCAGTAGATCAGGCGAGGTAGTCAACATCACCTAGCTACCGTGATGATGATGATGAGAGAGACACGCAAACTCCAAATACACAGCAGCAGGCGTCAGGGTCGGGATCGAACCCACGACCTCCAGTAGACCAGGCGAGATAGTCAACATCTCCTAGCCACTGCAGAGGGAAGATGGACAGAGCGAGTTGAGCGGCACAGGGGAAGGGAGCCCGGGACGGAATTCCCCACAGAGGGCTCAGCTCAAGATGAGCGGCATCTCGAGACGAGGTGACAGCCCCCCCGGGATTCATTTAAAGATATAGACACGTATTGTACATGCTGCGCTCAGAGAAACTGTAACCCACTTGCTGTACTGCCACCGAGTAGTCGCATTGCAGCACAGCGAGTTGGGAGTGTGAAGGCACCCGCGGGTCTTTGCGTGATCCGCCAACACTCGCCACTGACAATGCCGCGTCACAGGGGGAGCGGCCGCACGGCCTCTTGCTAAAGGCGCAGG